TATTATTGTAGGATTCTCTCAGACATGTAAAATAAACAGCTGTAATGGTCTGGGGAATATCCTTGAGTGGCAGGAGGAAGAAGAGCCGCAGCCAGGGCAATGGTCAGATAAGAGACATTTCAGTCCACAGGAGGAATGGGGAGGTGGAAAGTGTCTCAGAAGGGACCCTCCCTAGTTCCTTGGAAAGTAAAGGCAAAGGAGGGAGAGATGTGCTTTCAGACTTGCAAGATTCTGTTACTGTAACCTTACAATAAAGGTAGTGTTAGTAGTCATGGTTGTGGTTTCTTTGTCTGGATTACCTCAAAGGGCTGACAACAGCAATACAAAATATAATATAACCTTTACTGTACTCTTGTTCCACCTCTAAAGTGACTTTCCCCAAGGGAGCTTGGATTAAATGCCTCACCTACCCTTTCAAAGGTCTTCATGCCGAGGTAGGTGGAACTCCTACACAGTCCTAGAAGCAAAGTAGGTTCCTGATGATGGTAGAGGAGAAGCAAGAGCTGCTGCTTATGATGCTAAAGTTGTTGCTGTCCTAAAGCAAATGCATACCAATAAAACCCCATTTAAGATGCAATAACATTAGTATATTAATCATATTACAGGAAAGGGGAGAAAACAGTGACTGACTTAAGCATACATGACATTTGAATAGGCACAAAGCTAGTATCAAATGGGTTTTAAGAGCTAACTTACTCCAAAATATAATGGTCATGCATGAAGGCTGCATTTGTGTAACATATTCAGCTTGTCAAGGTAGCATAACAGACTGAGCCATAAACTAACCACACTGGCTAAGTTTCTAGAATATACTGTGCTACAGGACATTTTTAAAAGATTAAACCTATACAGACTTGGCATATTGTGTGATCCTCAGTAGGTCAGCTAATCTTAGTTCCAGCAGGGTTTGTCTGTATGATTCCAGGGTCCAGGGGGTCTGTTATGGGAAGGATAGGATGCATAGCACATCCGTGTTGGCTGCCTTTATACAATGTGCAGATCAATTTGTATTCTAATCAGCAGGGTTTCTTCTCTGTAGAGCAGGGAGACTCAGGAAACAACCAACGTCAAGAGAGGCAGCAGGAGAATGCTGTCTTTCCTTGGCCCCTCATGGTACTGCTTCTTGTTGTGCAGTTCACACATCAAAATAAACAGTAGATGTATTTAGTAGTGAGTTGCCTTGTCTATGGTTGAACTGATAGGCAGACTTTATGCTCATGAATAGATCTGCTAGCTGGTTATGGCCCTCTGTCTCCACTTGAAATGCAATCCTGTCAAACCAGGAAAATGGTCATTGCCCATAGTGTCAAAATAGCAATGAAATATTTGCAATGTCTGCAGAATACCGCTCCATTGGAACTTGCCTCTGAAGCACTGGGATGTATGTCCTTTCTCTGAATATATATCGCGGGACTGGAGCAGTTTGGGACATGAGCATTGCCCTCCTCTGTATGTCTCAGGTATGGAGTCTTGGCTGGCCAAGGTCCCAGCTGCTTGCAGAAGAGAGATGGCTGTGCTGCTGTGCTTTCCCAGGTGGTGGGAGATATCTCAGGGCTCTATCAAATTGGAGTCACCAAGGTGGGTTGTCTAAGTGCTTGCCTACTGTCTGGCTTTTGAAAGCTCAAATACGGGTATTTCTTTCACAGGCTTGTCCTGAATTGGTACGCCCTTACCTACTGCCAGAATTGAGAATGAGCCTTATGGTCATACATTAGTATGCTACTTTCTATCAAAAAGAGTTTCCCAGGTCCTATGGCCACAGTTTAATTCCCATTCTGCTCCCTGGCACAGTGGCATCCACTTTCTCCTATTCTTAAGAATATTTTTTACATACTGTGTGTGGAAATACATAGTTGTGGGACCAGACAGCTGTTCAAAACCTTACTGCCTCACTTACTTTGGCTCTTAGACTGCTGATAAAAAAATCTTAGTTCAACAGGGAGTTTTCTGTGCTTGCTGGCTACTGGCTGTGTAATGGTTATAAATATCTTTTTATTGTTTTATTGGGTTCTATTTCTTTTACTGTTGTTGATGACCAAGGTGAGCCATTTATCAAGTTGGTAAAATGCAAAGCAATGGATGCCTTGGACATGAATACAGGAAGTATACTGATACCCTAAGTCGCTGTTCTTCATGAGTGAAATAAAGATTTAAAAAATTAAGTGAACAACTTTTTCCCCTTCCCCTTTTCTGCTTGTTTTAGACAAATAAGGCAGTGAGGGTGTGAAGCTTCCTAGTACCTGTATGTGTCAGGTAGCCTCCCATTTCTTCTGTTGTCCGTGCTTTGGGATTTTTTTCAGGTGTTCTTGAAAGAAAAGGCACGGCAAATGCTAGAGAGGCAGCGAAACCAAAAGCTGACCTGGGCCATTGTCACCCTCCAGCGCAATCTCCGGGGCCTCATCAACCGTCGGCAGTTCCAGGTCTTCAGGCAGAAGATCACAGTGATCCAGGCTCACTTCCGAGGTCATCTGGCAAGGTCAGAAAACAATGATCAAGCGGGCAGAGCTCATATAATACTTCTAATATTCAAGGAAAACTTAAATTCCATTTACTTTTGGTGTCAACTGGTAGGTTTACTGACACCAGTGGGTTATAGCAGTTTTACCCAACAGAGGTTTCACAGTCCCACACTTACCTCTTGTTTTCTAATTTTACTCTTTCTTTGTAACCTTCAGAAAACGATACCAAAGATTGAAGAAAACTCTGCTACAGTTTGGGGTGGCCATACTTGTTTCTGGGCCACTGGTTCACACAATGAGGCACTACAAGGTAATAAAGTTATTGACAATGAGAGAGGAAGATTTAATATAACCCTCTTCCTGATGTGCCACATTATTACAAGCAAAAAGTGTTGTGGAAAGAGAACCACACTGAGGAGAAATAACCAAACATTTATTTAACAAGCGTTGGGTCCCAACTTTACATGAAAGAGAAACCCTGAACAATAGGAAAGCAAAGATTTTTACAGAAATTTGAGGGCTGCAGGGTGGGAAATCCTAGAGATCTGATTTGTTGACAGCTTTTGGGAAAGTTAAGCAAGTCCTTCTCCTTTTCCATGAGATTATTTCCATGAGGTTAGATGGAGCAGCCCTTTCAGGGGGGCAGCTGAGCTGGGGAAGCCCACTGTTAAGGAGATGGAACCTTAAGGTAATCAGGGGAATGTCCCTGATTGAGGACTGACTGCTGGGGTTTCACTGTGCTGCAGTTCTTTTGTTAAGGCTGCCCTTGGGCTGTACTGTGAGCTGGTGAGGAGGCTTCTATTCTTGGCTTAGATGGGATTGCAACAGGATTTGCCATTTGCAAAGGGGGCAGGGAGGGTCAATTTGGGTCTGATAGGATTAGGCAAAGAGAGGAGCTGGGTCTGATCCTGGTTCATGTCCAAAAGACAGGGAGGAAAAAGGGTACATATATGCTACATTTATTTTCTTCCCCACAAGAAGCTCCTTTAATATAAGGAAACACTAAAAAAAATTGCTGTGAATGGGAAGACAATTATTCAGGGGGAGTATAATGAGGAATATAGTAGATAAAGTAATCACTCTTTCCCACCCCCGCAGATGTTGCCAGAATGTGTCACTATCTGTATCATTAGCATTCTGATGGTGAAAAATCCCAAGTTGTGTATGAGGATGGTCCAAAATAACATGGGCTTATCAGCAAAACAATGGTGAACATGAATATGGTTATTAGCATCTAATGCATTTTAGAAATCTGTAATATAGATTTCTTCTTCACCATCATCTTTATTTGTACATAAACAATCTGTACTTGAATCATTTTTGGGGTGGGGATGTTACGGTTATAAAACAACATCCTTGGAACCTTATACTGGAACACTTTACCAGATAGGCTTCTTGGGATGTTGTGTGCTAAATGAAGTGCAAAGTTAGCCTAAGAACCCAATAATTATTCCCCTTTTCCACTTGAGACCATTTCCTTCAATAAGCATTGCTGGGAGTCAGGCACTGTACAAATTTAATGTATTTTTTTTAAACCTGGCTAAGAACCTACTGATATCCTCAGGTATTATTGTATAGCCCAAAGATATGGCATTAAATTACATCTAATATTATGTGAGTGAAGTTTCCTTCAAGGTTTCTGTTTGTCTTCCTCCATGAATCCCTTGAGCAATCTGTTCAGGGACCCCCACTCTCCAAAGTAAATCGGGGAAGGCAGGGAGAAGGAAGAGTCTGTTCTGCTGCTGATCAATAAGTACAATTAGATAAAACCCAAAAACTACCTGAGAAGGTACCAGGAAAATGGCCACTGCAGGTACAGCTTGTTATATATTGGAACTTCAGAGCCAGTTCCTAGCCTAAGTGTGTATTCTGCATCTGTTCTTCCCCCTCTGAATGGCTCCTGTTGTTCTCTGCTAGGAACAAAGCGGAGCTATGCCTTTAGTTCACCATCCTTGCCCTCTGTATTTAGTGTACAAATGCAGAGATCTTATGGAAAAATTACAACAATAAAAGGTCTCAAAGTTCAGTGTTAGAGTTGCAGGTCCTCCCTCTTCGTTTTCCTCCTGTCGATACTGCGTTGGATGGACTTTAGACTCTTTTAGTCTTAGCCAGCCCCAGACCCCAGCAGCTAGTTGAGCTGGTAACTGGCACCCAAACCCTGGGCTGTGGGGAAGAAGAGAAAAAACACCCAATATATCACTTGACAGCAAAACTGGTGAGTACCTTTGTGGAGCACTTGGTTTACAGACAGAAAAGACAAAGCCAGGGAAGAGCTGATTACTGTAGTCCAATTGGTCAGTCTTTGGAGGAGAAAGAAGCAGGATGTGTCTCTTCCAGAACTAGCAAAAACATTTTCAGTCATCCCCTTCAGGGGCTTGAACAATAGGGGAGAAAGATGAGATGAATACCTTTTCGAGCCAGTATAATTGGTAGTTGCAACTATACATAACATTTACAGTATTATGTTAATTCAGTTACTAGTTAATAACCAGAGCCTGGGATTTAATGAACAAAGTATTTTGTGTGCGTATGTATGTATGTATGTAGGTAGGTAGGTAGGTAGGTAGGTAGGTAGGTAGGTAGGTAGG